TTTTGTCCTACTTCCCCATTAGATTGTCGCACGGTGAGACACACCGTCGTACTCTGCTGCACAGTAATAAACAGCCTCGTCCTCTCCCAGGGCCCCAGAGATGGTCAAGTACAAAATTCTACCCGAGGAGTCTTTGGAACCAAAGAAACGAGAGGGGAGCCCAGGGCTCAGCTGTTTGTCAGACTCTGTATAATAACGTAATAAGAATCGCGATCGATCCCCAGGCTTCTCCTGAAACCAATGGGCTGCTCTGTCGTTCCTACTGACAGTACAGGAGAGTTTCACGGTCTTCCCAAGTGATACTGAGGCCAAAGGTGTTTGAGACACGGTGAGCTGAAAGGTCTCGGCTGGAAAGAAAAAAAGGGGAGAAATAATGGTGCCCATGTTCCACATCAGAATAACTCACCTTTGCCATCATTTTAGAAGGCGCACGGCCTGCTCTCACCTGTGGAGCACATCATGAACAGGAGGCTCGCAAGGGGGACCCAGAACATGTTGGAAAGGTTTGAGCTCCTGAATGAGACTTTGGTGACAAGAAAGCTCCCAACACTGATCCTGCACACCCGGGGTCTCCCTTATCTCAGTCTCGTTTGTGGAGGCGGAGCCATTGCGCCCCTCCCCTTTATTTGCTTCAATCTGATTGGCTGGAGGATCACATAGTTATTTCAGCCCTTCTGTGCTGCTGGATGAGCCTTCTTTCAGGACACCTTTCCCTTTGGACTTTGGCAAAGACCATCCTGCACTTTGGATGTCAGAAGGATGATCAACGTGACCCCATAACTTTTGGAAAAGAAAAACAGAGGAGAAATTCTGCCAGTAAATAGTACAAGTCAGAGTTGTTCGTTTCTTTGTTCGTTCATTCGTTCACTCTTTCAGCTTGATGGCTCCTCACTATAGTTTGTAGAGCACATCTTGTGTGATTTATGTTGAAAAAAAAAGCAAAAGAAAGGTCGTTTGAAGACATTCCTTCAGTAAATGAGAGGCAATAGCCAGAAGATGATGCCAGAAAATTAGCAGGACTGAGCCTGGCACCGGCGGCCTCAATGCTCTGGCATCATCTCTTAGAAAGGCTCAGTGACTTGATGGTCTTCAAGAAGGTATACACCAACATTCTGAGGAGAAGGTCTTTAAAATCTTCTACATCCAGATGACTGCTTCCAGGACTACATTGGCTGCCCACAGGGACTCATCCTGCCACCTTCATGGTGCTGATTCTGCCTCAGAGTTTTATGCAGCAGCTCTTCCTCAGTCGGGCCTGGTGGGAGCTGCCATCTTGGCCATGGAGGTCCTCTAATGAAACAAAACATTGAGGCATAAGAGTTTGGCAGGAATAATTCATCCCAAGGGACATGATTTGTGTGCCTGTTTGCAAGGAAGGGCTAGAGGAGACATTAGCTCTGGTTAACTATTATGCATGACCTCTCGTACTCTTCCTTGCCTGGTGGCAGGAAGTGGAGACTCTCGTTTTCTGTTCTTTATGATTCTTCATCTCCCTCAGTCATGCAAACATCATCCCCTAGAGCAGAAGTCCCCAACCCCCAGTCCGCGGCCTGTGCCGGTCCGTGGCCTGAGCTGGACTGGGCCGCAGAGACAGACATCCTGCCCCATCACCCCAACACACTCACCCCCGCAGAGCTGATTTGCACATGCGCGCACACTCCAACGCGTCTGCACAAGCGCCACACCACCGTTTGCACATGCGCACAAGTGTACCTGGAGAAGCACCACACTGCCACTTGCGCATGCACATGCACACTCATGACTGAGAGAGAGAGCGCTCATTCGCACATGCCCACAAGTGTGTGGGGGTGCCCCGCCTTCCACAGCCAGTCCGCATGGTGAAAAAAGTTGGGGACCCATAGGCCTAGAGAGACTCATTGACTTGGTGATGTTCAAGAAGGTATCAACACCAACCTTCTGAGGAGAAGGTCTCCAAAAATCTTCTACACCCATTCTTACCAAGAGCACAGAGGTCAGAAGAGGCTCCACATAAACTTGTCAGAGCAGGTTTAATTAAACATGTTTTTTGAATGCTTTTCTGGAACCAGCTCTGGTGACACAGCCACCTTAACCATCACTGATGTCCAGCAGCAAGAAGAGGCTGATAGTTACTTTATGCGAACACTGAGAATGTTCGTAGACAATAGAAAAAGGAGTATTTGAAAAAGTTGAACACTCATTTCAAAATAAAACATGTTCTTAATTTTGAGCGAATATTTATAAAAAAAAACATTGTATTAATTTTTCCATTATACCTTGGGGTAGAATTAGAGAAATTGTCAGGAAATTTTAAAAGAAACATAGAGAATGAATTAAGAAAGAAACAAGTTATTAGGAACAGTGACTGGATGGGGGGGGATAAAGATCAAATTTAAAAGTATAGGAATGGAAAGAGTATCCTGGTTTACTCTTAGTCAGTTAGAGCAATTGGTCAAAGATTGAGTAAAATGAAATGGTAAATGTAGGGATCTTACAAGATTTGAAGAAATACTTTAGAAGGAAAAGGTAGATGAGAATAAGACAATGAAAGTAATCATAAGTAGAACTTACGAGATATTAATAGAAGCAGAGGATCAACAGGATTTCTTAAAACATTACACGAATATGCTTTGGGAGAGGAAATCCATATCAAGGTATGGAATAATATATGAGATTAAATAATATTAACGTTTGTGAATATAAGGATTATGGAAATCTTTTATAAATTAGTTTAAAGATGGTATTTAACTCTAGGGAAACAATCTATTACATACCAGTTCTTCAAAGTTATGCTAGAGAGAATATCATAAAATATTTATATATAATAGGTCCTTATTTTCCTCTGTAGTGGAAATGTGAGAATATATTGGAATGTTGGCAGATAGTTTTCAAGGAAATAAATGAAATAATTAAGTAGAATATGGTGGTATCTCTAACATCATTCTTTCATCAGTATTTGACAAGGAGTACTGAAATGAAAGAATTAATTTCAAATCCATTAATGGCAAAAAAATGGGAAAGTAAAGCATCATGGTATAAAGTAGTTAAAATATAGATATTAATGAATAAGTTAATGTGTAATAGAACACTAAAGGAGCATTTGATAAATAAGAATATCTGCATCTATATCTGGAGAGAATTTATCAAATTTGCAGTCTCTCAATCATCAGCTAGCTGGAAAACTCAGTGAGTTGGGGATCTGGCTGTGGAGGTATTTGGCGTTTGATTCCCTGCTATGCCTCCTGACAGTAGGGCCAGCCTGGGTAGCCTTGGGCAAGCTGCACAATCCTGCGGCACCCCCAGGAGAAGGGAAGGGTAACTGAATGAGATTTTGACAACAAGAAAGCTCCCAGCAATGATCCTGCATACCAGGGTCTCCCTTATCTTAGTCCTGATTGTGGAGGCAGAGCAATTGGGAGGGTGATCAACAGGAGCTCCTAACTCTTGGCAAAGACACATAAAGGAGAACTTTTTCTTAGAAGTCCAATTTTCTTTCTTTCTTTCTTTCTTTCTTTCTTTCTTTCTTTATTTATTTATTTATTTATTTATTTATTTATTTATTTATTTATTTATTTATTTATTTCAATTGCTTGCTTGATTGAAGCTCAAGGATTTCTCAATATAGTTTGAGGAGCACATCTTATGTGATTCTTTGAAACAATAAAAGATGGGTCACTGGAAGAGATTGTTCCAGTACATGACTGACTGAAGACAGTGCTGGAACAGAGTCA